TCAGAAATAGAGCAAAATCTCTGTCGCAACGGTGATGACGTCCATGAGATTATTGTCATCGAAACGATGAGTAAAAAGTGTATTCACTACATATGCAGTCTTGATCAGCAAATTTAATTGAATCAATCATCATTTTTTTTTTCAATTCGCATTGAAAGCATGTTTATTGTTAATTCTGCATTAACGAAATGAAAAATGCAGAATTTCGATTACTTTATTAGAAATCAAATGAATACGAGCACTACTGTGATTATTTGCTGTTTTTAGGAAATATTTGTTGTTATGACAAATTGCAAAGTTTATCGAGGGATGGAAAACTGTGGTGTCTAATTGGATCGTCTGAAATTATTGACTGGGAGAAGAGGAAAGACGACTCGTGTCCCAATTTAATTTGCGTTTACCCGATGGGGATCGGAGGAACAGAACAGTGATTCACGAGTGGAGAAGGAAAATGAAGAAAAGAAGGGACGTTGTCCATCGAGAAGGAAGGTTTATTGAGTTTCTAGGACATTCGGTGCGCAGAGATTTCAACTACTACGGGAATGGGGAAGAGGAGTTTTGTCCCAGTTTTGTGCACCGACTGGGCTGGGTCGGGCCACTGAACGGAGGAGGATGTGCATCGAGCGGGGGTCCGTTCCCATGGCTCGATGCACTTGCAACTAGGTCGATGGCGTCGCGACGCACCGCCCTTACATATGACCCCCCGACCCGACGTCGTTCCTCTCTCTCTCTCTCTCTATCTCACCCCAGCCATCATCGATCGATACACACATTTCATACATGAAACACACACACTCTTTAACTAATTTAGTTCATTCAGCTTCACACCTGATGTAATAATCTGCATCCCTCAAGCATGTTACGTAAAAACAACCAAAGTTGCATCATCATCATCATCAATATTACTATTAAAGCAATCTTGAATTCAACTATACTTATCAATAAAACATTGAGGGTTTCGTCTAAGATTTGCAAAACGCATAAATAACAGGAGCGCTTCAAAAAAAAAGATTAATGTTTGACCTCTAATCCCTCCAGCCGTGTAATGGTATTTGCTAAATGCATAAACACGCGCGCGCTTATGTTTTCCAGCGATGTGCTAATATTTGGGAAACATGCGAATTCTTCTAATTGAAAAATGCAACAACGAATAGTAGTAGCAGAGCCCGAGCGATAAATCCATTCCTAGGTTTTCGTTTTCTCCTGAATAATGGATGGTCATTTATCTTATCGTGGTTTGTTTTCTCTTTTTTTTTTGTTCTACAACGATTTGCCATTGCCATTATTGTAAGTCATTACGTTATGCACTTGGGTACGTGCAAAATTTATTGCTTCACGATCGAGCATTGCTTTACGGATTTACCAGGAGTCCGTCGTGATTTATGGGTGCCCCGAAGCTAGGTCATTATGCGACCGATTGGATGAATTGCAATTTTTGTTGTTGCTTCGAAGTAAAATATGATTTATCGTTTTATTCAGGTTCATCAAAGTTATTTATTATATAATACACAAGTTATTATATTATACCAACGTATCACATTTGATTATCATTGTTTTAAAATATTATTTTGCGCGATTTAACTGATTTTAATACTGAAATGGGACGGAAGAAAACATATTAAATTTAAAAAAAAAAATAGTGTATTTTTCTACGATATGATAAAAGCGACTTTGGCACAGTGTTTATTTTTACGAAGCAGTGCAATTCGTTCATAAATACGATAGAATAGAATGTTTGGATGTTGAGAGATATTATTGGTATGGAGCGTAAATTGGAGGTAAATTATTTTTGTTTTACTTGCAATGGTTATGATGGATCCAAGACTTGCAGGGATATTGATTTTTAAATGGAGCTACAAAGTAAATATTAAAGAATATATGGGTCGTATCTTGTATAATACAAATGCCATTAAAATTATGGTCGATCGATTAACTTTATTATTGCTGAAAGTCGATCGAAGTTGTCTTGATAATGTAATGTACGGTAGTTGGAGAGATGGATAGTATTTGTAGACGAAGGAGTTGCGTAGCGGTGCATTATTTGATTTTGCGGAGCGGATAGGGCGAAATATATGATATGATGATATAATGTAATAGCGGGACGCGCAACTGTACAAAGTGCTCCGTAATTCACGCGCTGCATGCCTCTGTTGTAGCTCGTTAAATTCATTACGTGTTTATTGTTTCAGGTCACTATGCATAGGAGTCTGAACATAGGCGGAGGCGGCGCCCACATGAGGGGCGGCGTCTACGACGGCAAAATCGCAGGCCTCTACGACCTGGAGGAGACACTCGGTCGTGGACACTTTGCCGTCGTCAAGTTGGCCAGGCACGTCTTCACCGGCGAGAAGGTTGCAGTCAAGGTCATAGACAAGAGTAAACTGGACGACGTGTCCAAAGCGCATCTGTTCCAAGAGGTACTCCAGCTCGTTACGTTGAGTTATCATCGATTATCGTATTTGTATTTTAGGTGAGATGCATGAAGCTGGTGCAGCATCCGAACGTCGTGCGATTGTACGAGGTCATCGACACGGCGACGAAGCTCTACCTGATCTTGGAACTGGGAGACGGCGGCGATTTGTACGATTACATCATGCGCCACGACACCGGCTTATCCGAGGTGCTGGCTCAGGAGTACTTCAGGCAGATCGTGCGCGCCATCACCTATTGCCATCAGCTGCACGTCGTCCACAGAGATCTGAAGCCCGAGAACGTGGTGTTCTTTCAGAAGCTGGGCGTAGTCAAATTGACGGACTTTGGGTTTAGCAACAAGTTCTGTCCCGGCCAAAAACTGGAGACCAGCTGCGGCAGTCTGGCCTATTCCGCCCCGGAGATACTGCTGGGCGATTCCTACGATGCGCCTGCCGTGGACGTGTGGTCGCTCGGCGTGATCCTGTACATGCTGGTCTGCGGTCAGGCTCCCTTCCAGGAGGCCAACGATTCCGAAACGCTGACCATGATTATGGACTGCAAATACACGGTGCCCACGCACGTTTCCAAAGAATGCAAAGAGTAAGTGACATCAAGTCTTATTTCATTTGCACGTGGACTGTCTAACAAGTATCTCTCTATTGGTGCAGCTTGATTGCTAAGATGTTGGTGCGAGCGCCGGAAAAGAGGGCGACTTTATCTGAGATTTCGGCGCACGCCTGGTTGGCGACGAACAATCAGGATACAATTGACATACTGCCATTGGTGTCGAAGGAACAATTATCCGAGGAGGATCATAATCTTATTGTGCAGAAGATCGTTAACGGAAACATTGCAACCAAAGAAGAAATCCAAGAGTGAGCGATCGAGTTGTTCAATTGAAATTCCTTTTTGATTAACGTTTCTTGTTGTTTTGCATTTTTTTCTTTTCAGTTGCCTGGACAAGAACGAGTACAATCACATAACGGCAACGTATTTTTTACTGGCCGAACGAAAGCTACGGTCTAAGCGGCAAGAAATAGTTAGCAACAATCGAGGTAGGCGGCCAGACCAATTGGCAGTCCATCAACCAAACCAACCACCGCAAATAATTAAGAACACTAACAAAAGTCCCGCTCCCTCTTTGTTGTCCGTACCCAGAACTCCCGGTGATGTACCACAGGTATACTATACAATCTTAACGGATTCCATCTAGCAGCGAGTTCTAATGCTTTCGCTTTAACAGAGGTCGCGCAAGTGCAGCATTGTGCAAGAAGATGAAGAGGAGGAGGACATCTCAAGCTGTTCGGGTCGGGAGGAGCTATCGTCGGCGCACACCTCGCTGAATCGTCGCGGCTCTAGGTCCGAGGGTCGACTGAATTTGGCCCTTCAGGAGAGAATCGCCGAGTCTGAGAGGAGGAAGGAGGAGGACGAGAAGGTGCCGAAGCTAGCCAATCAGCCGCAGCAGCAACCTCTGTGTAACATCAAAACTTTGGAGAGCAGGCCGAGGTCCGCGCACGAGGCCAAGCTGAGCAAGAAACCGGACAAGGTCTCGACCATTCCGCCTAAAGTGAAGACCACGATCATAACAGAATCCTCGACGATCACCATCCCGATCGTCACGAATTCCCCGTTGACGTGCCAAGCTTTGCCTAAATACAGGACGATGCCATCGCCAATCCGTACTCAACAGCATCAACATAATCTCCAGCAACAACAACAGCAGCAGCAAGGAGCCAACACACTTAATACTCAGTTGAACGAGATCTTCGAGGAAGGAGATTGCGACGCGAACGGACGGCCTACTAGGCAGTTCGTGAGCAGGAATAGGGCCACTTATGAGCAGAGAAGATCAAAATTCCACAAGACCAGAACGGCGTCGTGCAGTTCCTCCGATGCAAGCGACGATGACAGCGAGAATCGGAAGAAGAGGGCACACAAGATTGGCGCCACAGCAGTCAGCAAACCGTCGCAGCACGTGCGCCGCGACTCGCACGATGATTCCAGTGATTCTCAAGAACCCGGTGCCGGAGCTACGGCGGCCTCGGGAAACGGAACCATTGGAGGTGCTGTTATCACTAACAACAGTAATTCCGGTAATTCCACCAAAACCACCGGCACCACCGGAAATACGAACGGCGGCAGGAAACACAATATTGGTGAGTTCACATCCATTGCTTTACCTTACGAATGTTAACATTTATTTCAATTACAATAAATCGATTGTGTATTTTAGGTAACAGTGCGATGTTGGGGCGAAGGCACAAGGCGAGCAGACGGAGAAGCGGCGAAACCAGACTGAGGGAGAGTCAATCCTTGAACAGGATCACGGAGGAGGATGGCAATCATCACACTCTCGTGATTACTGGTAATCTCACCGCAAGCCAAGGCGTATGCGTGGCGCCGAAGGTGAAGAGTTTCGGTGCGCGATTCCTGCAGGGCTTCGGCATGAGCAGCAGCAAGCGGCCGGTGGAAGAGAAGGCGGCACGCAAAGAGGAGAAGGAAAAGGAGAACAAGCTGAGCAGCTCGAAGAAGATGCGCCTTCTGGGTAGATACTTTCAAGTGCACAAGAGGATATTCGTCCCGATTCCGGGTCTGTTTTCGCGGAGCAAACTGTACAAAGCACGATCGTGCGGATCGTTGAAGATCGACGAGGAGGAGGACGGCATCGTGTCCGGCGGCAGCAAGCTGTCGGCCGTCGGAAGCACCGGGGACATCAATCAGAACAAGTCGGAGCAGGATCTGCAGGGGACGAAGGTTCTCGTGAAAAACGTTCGTGATATGTGCGTCCATCTGGGGCACGCATCCAAATGTAGTTTCTGTTGATTCACGTCGTTGCGAACACGGACGAGAAAAAAGAAGAAAGAAAAGGGAAAACAAACAAACAAACAACATTTAACAACTAACTCAGACCAAAATGAACTTGTTTAAAACAAAAGAAGAACAAAAACCAAAGCATAGATTACTTATATTTATATATAATATAAATAACATATATATATATTATATATATATGAATATATAGACTCACAGAGATTAAGATTTCGCGTTTGGACGGTTTGGTTTAGTTTTAGTTTTTATTATTATTATTTTTTATTTTAGAGAGATTTTTATTAGAGACGTAAAACATCGTGTTACTACTACTACATGTTTTCGTTTTAGATTTATTTATTTTTTTAAAAAAAATTTGTTTTATTCCTGTATAATATAGTTAATATAGATACGTTTTATTTATCGCCTTCTCTTTTACACGACGTTTCGATTTTAATCTTTGTTTCTGTTTGGTTCGGTAATTCCATCGACTTCGAGCGCGAAAATAAAGAACAAGGAGAACCTCGCTCCTGAAGTCCATGGACCGAATACGAATTTTGATCGGTTTGTTAACCTAAAGAGGAGAGAGATATTTGTAATTGCCGCTGGTCGGATTTTATTGTCGCTACTTCTAAAACAAAAACAAAGAACAAAATTATATATAAATATATAACAAAATATACACATTATATATATTATAAAAATGAAAAAAAAAGAGAATATATATATATAGGAACGCAGGGTCTCTTAT